TCAGCATGGGGAGTTAAGTTATTAAAAAGAGATGACACGGTTTGGACTACCATTTTATGAAGGTTAACTTCTAATTCTGACAGTTCTGTAGTAGTTGCTTTTCACAGCTGGAAATCTGTAAAGTTAATGCTCACAGAAATATGAAAGGGAATTGTGTTGATATGAAGGAATGCACTTGAGGTGCGGGCCTCCAGCTTGTACTTCAGTTCAATTTAAAAGAGCATGTAATCCTGTAAACAGAACTTTTGCCTCAGTAATGAATTTCAAGGTTTGTTATCAAGATCAAAGAAATATTGCTGTATTTTATATTGGAGAGAGATAGTCTGCAATTTTTATTTTTTAAATGCAATGTAGAATTAATAACCACTGAAATTCTATAGTGTCCTATGAATGCCTTTCATTTTCAGTGCAGTGGGAACTGGTTTTTGTGTTTCATCATATAAGGCTGTATTTTCATCTGAATTGAAGCTGTCAGAAGATGAATCTTATATTAGGTTGTATTGCCAATATGGGCTGTGCCAGTGCTTTAGACAGCTACACTATTAGTGTGTGATTAAATTCCTGAGATTTTGTCTGTATAGTTTCAGTTGGGATAATGACTGTTAGTCTGATTGGTTTTCAATCCTCGAACAGAAAACATCAGCAAATAGCAATAATTACATTCTGCCTAATATACTAGGTTTAGCCTTAGAGCTTGCAAAAAGGAATACTGAACTCTTCATCAGCAAGGCACTTGATTTTTTTCCTCTGAATCAGGTTATCATTCAACTAATAGGGATTTTATATATATGTATGTGTATAGTGTATCTATAGTATGTGTATATACCTAGTTCATGCAGAACTTCTAGTTTATATTCCCAATGTGATATTAGACTAAGATTTAAGTTTGGTTGAGGTAACCTTTTCAAGAACAAGAGGAACTTGTTCCATTGTCTAATGTTCACTTTTCTTCACTCACCCTTTTTGTTCAGTTGTTGACTAAGTAATTTTAGTTAGCTTTTTTGAATTATGCTGACCAGAACAACTGAATTATTTTTCCATATTACTTTAGGTAGTGAATGCTTAAAATCTACTTCATTATGTTTTATTGATTTTAATTATATATGTGTCTGTTATTTTCTCTACACCTGTTTTTTTAGTTGAAAACATTTGTATATAAATCACATGTTTCTAAATAAAAATCCAAAATGTAACTTTAATGCCTAGACTGCATGGACTAAATTGAGCAACCATTTTTGTTAAAGTGCAAGCTACCTATACAGAAGTTGTTCTCTCCTACTTTTTGTTTAAGAAGTAAATAAAAGTTTCCAATTATTAAAGGTAAGATTTGGGGTTGTAATCTCTTTGTTTTTACAGGTATTGCCAGATAGCCCAGATCCATGCCAGCCGTGTTCCTGTGATCCAAATGGATCTTTACATGATACCTGTGTCAAAGATGAAAAACATGCAGAAGGAGGTAAGATCTCTAAAGGACAGTGGTGTTAAAGCTTAAGTTCAGCAATGGTCAAAGAAAAGCTGAATACATTTATGATATCTCTTTAAAAAAAAAAAAAAAGCTTCTTTTTTTTTAAGTTTACTCATGTGAACAATAATCCACCTGCATTCTTATGATACTTTTCTTTGGAAACTCAGATTTTATGTTCCCAACTTTGCTGAGGCCTCTTTCAGATTCATGGCTTGCAAACTTGGGTACGTTTGGAATATATTGGAGAATTTTGGCTTTAAAGAGCTTTCTTCTTTTACAGCAGAGATTAAAACTAGTACATCTTTTCCTCTCTAAGCATATTTCCATTTAAAACCTCAACAAAAATCTGTTTGAAAGTTGTCATATTTATGTGCCATCTATATTATTAATGTAGGACTGCAAGCTGTTTACCATAGCCCTGTAAAAACTATCTTCAAATAGAGAATAAACTGCTTCCTTGTGCTCTGGAAACAATGGATTGCCATATTTTTCTGGCTCTTTTGTTGACAAACTTCTGACAATACTGTAGGAAGATAAAAACAAACTCAAGGTCAGCTCTTAGGAGATGTTTTAATTGGGCTAATTACAATCTACTGACAAGAGATGTGGTAGCAATCTTTTTTGAAATAGAGATCAATGGAACATAAAAGCAGCATAGCAGAGATGCAAATACAGGGCCCAGAGGTGTTAAATCTACTGTAACAACCATATACTGATTACATCAGTTCAATAAAATGATACGGATTACTGTCACAGTGCTATATAGAGTGGGTCGACCTTGGCCGGCTGCAACTGCCCACCCAGCTGCTCTCTCACTGCCCTTCTCAGCAGGACAGGGGAGAAAATAAGATGAAGCAGCTCATGCGTCAAGGTAAAGACCAGGAGAGTGCTTGCCAATTACTGTCATGGGCAAAACAGACTCCACTTGGGGAAAACTGGGGAAAATATTGCCAATTTAAATAGATTCAGATAATGATAAACAAAGATAAATATTAATAAAACACCTTCCCCCCCTCCTTTTTTTTCTCCAGGCTCAACCTCATTCCTTCATTCCCAACTCCTCTACATCATCCCCCTCTACCACAAGTGAGTGGTGCAGGGCGATGGAGAATGGGAGTTGTGGGCAAAATGGTTTCTCTCTGACTCTGCTTTCTCCTCACACTTTTCCCTGGCTCCAGCATGGGTCCTTCCCATTGGCTTCTGTCCTTTATGAAAAAAATCTGCTCCACCATGGGTGTTCTTTCAGGAAATATCCACCTTCCTCCATGGTGTGCAGCGTGGATATCTGCTCCAGGGGCTGGAGGGGAATCTCTGCTCTGGCGCCTGTAGCACCTCCTCTCCTTCTTCTCCTCTGACCTTCTCTGACCCATCTGGGAGAGGGTCTCAGCCGTGCCCTGCAGTGGGTCCACTGGAGCCAGCTGGAACCGGCACAGGAGAGCCCGGTCCTCTCCTCACAGAGGCCACCCTGCAGCTCCCCGCTGCCTGCGCCTGGGCACGGGCACCTATCACATGCATTGATAGGAGAGACAGTAGAAGCGGAAGAGAGAGGATGAATCCCAAAGCTAGAAAAAAACACAGCAAGACTGTGCATTGCCTATACCAAACCTGTGGGTGAGAGTGTATAGGTTACAGATGACAGACTTATTACAACAAAGAAACCTCTCATACTATATACTCTTCTGTGCTGGCCACTGGTGCGGGTCATTCTCCAGGGGCCTGGCAGCTGAAAGGCAGTTAATAGGCTGTCAGCTCTTCTTTCACAGGGAGAGGGAAGCAAAGAGATAAAGACTTTTTTCTATCTTGTTTGGTTGTCAGTAATAGTGTCATTAGGAGCTCTCATAATGTCTTATTCTTACCTGTGAGCATTCAATGCATCTAAACCATCTCATAGTTGCTTTCTAAATCTGCTTACACTTTCTGAATCTGACTGGGTGGTACTGTGCTTTAACCCCTTGCTTCCTGTATTTCCTTCTGCCTTTTTAATCTGCTGATCTTCTTTCTGGTAAATTCTTATCCGTCTTTTTTCTGCACCTCTCTAGGAAGAGAACAAAGCTCCTGTTTGGACCCCTCCTTTCCTTTCTTTTTCTCTGTTGTCTCCATCCATCTAATCTAAAGATCATTAACTGTGTCTTTCTAATAAATCAAGAAATGTGTCATGCCACCATCTTGAAGATAACGTATCCAAAACTGGGTTATCTCTCTCTGTTTTGCCTCCTTTTATTGGCAACCAGCCAGTCATGCTCATCTAGCCCCAGGCATTCAAACAAGTTTCATATCTCAGCAGTTCCTCCAGCCCCAAGAACCAGAGAGTTCTTTTGTTCTCTTCACAAAACTAAAATGCTCATCATTTTCTGTCTTGACTGTAACCGGCTTCTCCTGACCTTCCTGAAACTTAGCGTATTTGGCTGCAATTGGTTAAAGGCCTGTTGCTTTTGAGCACATTAGAGTAGTCTTAATCTTTGTTGAATCTGCTGTTTGTAGCACATGATGTAATTTTTTACCTTTACTGCTTTTTAAACACATTGATTTCTACTCTTTCCAAATTATTTACTGTAGGTAGAGGTTATTCTGTGTGTTTAAACTACTTCTTCTCATATATGACAAGCGCGACAATTGTTATTTAGGTAAAAGCCATCATATACACAATTCCTTCCCCAAAGTAGTCCATGCATTTGTTACTGAAACCAGTTGTCTGTGTCCTGCCCAGTCCTGGGAGTCCAGTAACAAGTGGACAGTTTGCACTGTCTAGGCAGTGGCCAGAGGACAATTCTGATATTTATCTTATTTATTTACCTATTTTAAGACCACAAGAACAACAATAAGTCAGCTCTACACATAACTGGGCTTTGTAGCCATTCTGCCTACAATGGTCCTGTTCTTTGTTACTCGTTCTTTCTGCTTATTTGCTTTTCTTTACTTCTAGTTGTACTAAATAAGGTTCCAACACATTAGGAAAACTGTTTAGTTCTTGCACATTATGTTTGATTATAGTGTTTGGACCAGTGGGCCAGATTTGTGACTGTAACGTTTTATTCAACAGAAAAGACATGCTAGTTGAAAGAAAAAGCCTTTTTTAGTATGTCTTTTAAGGAAAGATTTTTGTGGTAATGGAAGAGGTTGTGTTAGAATCAAGAGCAGGTCTGGATATAATTTTTAGCATAAAACTGTCCTGCAAGCAGATCACTTTTTACCTTTTTTTTCCCTCAAATTTATATTCAATACCCTGATAAAATTCTTTTTACTGTACACTACTCACCCTGGGTAGCAGTTGGGTTTGAAGCACTGGGGAACCTTCATAAAAGAAAGGCTGGAAAACATGATCTGTCTGAAGGAATCTCTCTATTCACCTGTGAACCAGAATGAATACACACTGGGTAGGTTGAAATACATCTCAGAGTTTGCTGGCTGGTTGTTTAAGTGTAAATTTTTTGCTTGGTGTAAGATGGGAATATGCTTCTTAAATGTGTGGTAAGCAAACGAGTCAGGAAGATTAAAAACATTAAACTAAAATGGAAATATGATAATAAGGAAAATCACTGGGGATATAAAGTCACCATGAACAGTTCTCAAGGAAAATAAAGCTGGAGGCTGTACATTCTCTTTGTGCTTCAATACTGTAAGTAAGCAACAATTAACATGGAAAATTGTAGCAAATACCATAATAACTGGTACATTGATGAAGTGCAGCAAGAGGATTTAAATGACTGCATTCTGTAGTCATCATCAGGTTTTGGTAGATAAGAGAAAGGCATGAAGGAGTCGCTTTATAATTGACCAAGCATTGTTTCAGGAGAAAAAGAACTATTTTTGTATATTAAGCGTGTACAATTTCCATTTTGATCAGCCTAGTATAACTTTGTTCTCACATGTTTCACTCGACATTCTGAAATGAAATATTATTATTCTAGTTTGTATAGTATATTTTTGGTTTTGATCTTCAAGAACACTTTTCAAATATTCTTTCATAGCAATGTTATATGATATGTCCATGTCCATGAGCAATATAGAAAAGATAGAGCCAGAAAGTTGTAATCAATCACAGTACATTTGCAAACTGTGGTATTGATAAAATAAACTCATGAAAATGTCTCTAGGTTTTGTAAATGAAAAGCAATAATTTTAAAACTGAACTTGTCCACCTATGTCCATTCCATCCTAATAATAGGTAAACTTGACCATCGCTGATGTTGTGTTCGCTTGCAATTGTCCATACAGAAACGAAGGTGGAACCTATACATTCAGAACTACTTTGTACTCCAGTAATTAGGCTTTTTCAGTGAATCATTACTCTTGTTTGAAGCTGTAGTGGCTTGATTTTAACAAATAGCCATTTTACTTGGCTTTTAAGCACCTGCAAGAGCTGTGAGGTTTGGAAACTGGCAGAGTTTTGTGACTCAGTCTTCACTTCCTATTGCCTCTTTATTTACAATATAATCCCAATGACAGATGGTTATTTTTTGCTGAAAAACTTTCTCGAACATTTTAAGATAAATAATGTCCAGACATCTCGATCTTTATTCAGGCTTCATAGTACTTTGCTCAGCAAGCAGTCCCACTGACTTCCATGAGATCATTTTTGGAATTTATACACTGTTGAAGAGGAGTGAAAATGGCAGCAGCGAGTCCTGGGATTGCAGGTTTTTTCAGGGGTCTGGTGCATGCATTTATTTTTGTGCAATTTTGAAAGACTAGTAGGCTGGGAGAGAAATGACTGATAAAACTCATATTTTAAGATGACTCATCCTCTAGGATGAAATTTCAAAGCCTCTGTGCACTCAAAGATAGGACAGAAACTGATAATATTCAAGTAGAAAACAGGGAATAACAGCTTCAACAAATAAAGCCCCACTCTAACAAGGCCTATGAAGTAATAGACCAAAAGCAAAAGAAGATGTGCTTCTGCTGAAATGTTAGTCCATTACAACAACAACAAAAGATAGACCTGAAACAGCTGCCCTAAACTGAAATGTAATTAGGCTGTTGCCATAATAAGCACTACATGAATTACAGAAGCCTGGTTAAAGATAACTAGTGGGACAGGAATTTACATACTGTGTAATACAATGAGAGCCTAGATCTTGCAAGTGCTGTAAATGAAAGAAGGCATTGAGCCAAATAAAATATACAGACAAACTGCATCAACAAGTGTAAGCGCTGGAAGAATATATGACAGTTAGTAGTCTCTGTGCCTTCCTTTCTCTGTTGTGGAGTGTGACGTCTCCTGATAGATGGTAGGTTGAAGGTTATCCACTCACTACTGTGTATTCTGCATGAGAGAGGGGATTGCTGGGCTGGTGACAGTGGAGTTTCCAGTCCTGGTCTCTCTTCCTTAACTGCAGAGAAAGAAAAGAGCAGGAGAAGGGAAGGTTCTTGATGGGGAACTAAAAAACCAGACTGACTGGGCAGTGGAGGAGAGACTATAGATTTAAATGAGTGTTTGAGAGTCATTCCGTACTGAGGCTTTTAATTGAATTTGAGTTTGGTGAGACTTAACTCATGAGACATAAGAATGAGTTCTTGAACCTTTCAAATAAGACTGGCTCACTTCTAAAGAGTTAGACTTGCCTGTGTCTTTTACTGCTGATCCCTGGTGTGCAGAAGGGTATTTTCATCTGGAAGGAACAGAAGTTTCTCTTGTAAGACAAGATTGTCTGGCTGCGATGCGCTGACCCAGATGACAAAAGAGCCTGAGGCTTACTGTGCTGTGGGGCCTCGCCAGTGGCTCGGTGAGAGGAGGGGAACTCAGAAATCTGAGAATCAGCTGGGCCACAGGCATCAAAACCTGTGGAGCACGTGGTTTTGTGATAGTAAGTAACACAGAAATTTCATGCACTGAAATTCTGTATGTAATTAGGACAGATCAAGAAGGTGACAGTTAATATGATGTGCTACAGGAGATGAAAGAGGCTGCAAGGTTAGAGAAGACAGATTGAATTTCATGTCTGTATAGATTAACAGGTAATATCATTTAAAACTCCTGTAGAGACTGCTTCTTCAAACAGCTAGTTAGAGAAACTATAAAAAGAGAAGCACCTCTGGATTTATGCATGAGGAACTGGTTTAAAACTCTCCTCTTGAAGGGCAGTCAAATTCAACATTTTTGTAGGAATGAGAAGGCCTCCCTAAAAAACAATTTCATGAAAACAAGGAAACCTTTAAAAAGAAAATCAAAATGAGCAATCCAAGGTTGCTCATGGCAAGCATAGGGTTTATAGACTGCATATTCGACATTCAGAGAAGATGCATTCCAGTAGTTCAAAATTACTGAAGCAACACAATTAAGACAGGAAAAAAAAAATCTGTTCAAACAATAAAAAGGAAGCTCCCTGAAAAAGCAGAAGTTATGTCCAATTGAGGATAATAGAAAAGGACATAAATTGTGACAGATTCTGGAAAGTCATACTCTTAATAACATGAGCACATACTTTAAGGAATATTTTGCTAAATGCTTAAATGTTGCTAAGAAATACTTCTTCAGATAAATCAGAATCAAAAAGACTGCTAGAGATTCAAATTCAGTAGGAGTTAAATATGATTAAGGTATAATCAAGTTATAACCAGTGATCTCGGGGAAAAAAAGGACAAAGCAGAAAAGCTAGATTAATTCTTTGTATCAGTGAATGGAAGAGCTCAGGGAATTTCCCGCTTGGGAGTCTTTGTTCATGGGGACAAGTCAGAAGAACTGTCTCAAACAGAAGTGTCAGGTTTAGAGTAAGCTCATAAACGAAGAATAAAAATTCATCAGGCATATATGGTATTTATCCATGGCTTCTGGATGTAGTTAAAAATGGAGTTGCTTGAAGCATTAAATATAGTTTATAATACTTTAAAAAACTTACATTAATATTACATAAATAGAAATTGTTTCTCCAATTTGTAAAAGAAAGGCAGAGGATTCCAGGAACCTAAAATCAGAAGGTCTGGTTTCGGTACCAAGCAGATCAGTAGAACTACAATAAATGATTTATACCATTTCTGAACTGTGGCAAAAATGGGCAAAACTCAGGATCAGGGGTTTTTTTAGGAGGACAGTGTGCCTTATGAATCTGTTTGAAGGATTCAATGAACATGTGAACAAAGGCTCATTTGATTAATATTGTATTTTGATTTTCAAAAGGTTTCGACAAGATCCTTCACCAAAGACCACAAAAGAAAGTGTAATAGAATAAGGAGGAAAGATTCGTTCATGGATTAGTACTTGGTTAAAAGAACAAATGGACCATTTTCACTGTGATGATCAGTATGAACTGTTGAAAATATTCATACTTAACCTGGAAAAGGGATGAGTAGGAAGGTGACAAAGTTAGCAAGTACAAAATCTTTCAGCATAGAAAAATGAAAGAACTGCAAAATGTTCAGAAAGATCTCAAGATAGTCAGTGGCTGGGTAGTAAAAGAACTGATGAATTTCTGTTGCAATTAAAGGAAAAGTAGAACACAGAGAAAAGTAGTTCTACTTGTACATTGATTACAGCAATTTCTGAATTGGGCACTACCAGTTGTGAAATAGCTCTTAGAATTACCTTGTACTGTGCCCTGGGTGTATCAGCCCAGTGCCAGATCAGCAGTAGTCAAAAAGATCAACAGAACCTTAGGAAATATTAGTGAAGTTTAAAAAACAAAACTGAAAAAAATCATCAAACCATTTATAGGTCCACAGTATGCACTCCCTTCTCCTTAAATAATTTATTAGAACTGGAAACAGTGCAGAGGAGGACAATAGAGACTTTCAGCCACACAAAGCAGTTTCTGTGTAAAGAGATACTAAATAGGCTTAGGAGTTTTTGGTGTATGAAATAAAAATGTCATGTGGGATATGATACAGGTATATTGAAATCACAGATGACATGGAGAAAGTGAGTAGGGAATGGTTACTTGCTGTTTTCTATAATATGAGAATTAGAGGGCAATAAATATGGGTTTAACGCACAACAGTGTTTTCTTTCATGGTACACATGGCTAAATGTGGAACTTACTGCTAGGGAGCTTTATGGATTCTGAAAGTAAAGGCATGTTCAAAGGAGATTAGGTGAATTAATGGAAGAGAAGTTTTTCAGAGACTGTTAGATGCAAAGAAGTAGGGATAAGTTTCAGTTTAGAAGATCTCTAATATGTGGATTTCAGAATTCAAATCACTATATACTTGCTCTATCCTTACATGCTTTATTCTAGCTTCTCTCAGACAGGATGCTGAGTTAAATAGACGTATGGTCTGACCCACAGTAAATGCCCTTATGTTACACCTACCAAAGGTCTTGCTTTGAGCACTCTTACACACATATCTGATAATAGTAATAATAGTAACAATAACAATAATAATAATAAATAATCAAATATCTCTTATGTTTTCTCCCTCTTCCCATAGATATGTTGCCTGGTTTCTGTCACTGCAAGACGGGCTATGCCGGAGAGCACTGCAGTAGATGTGCCTTGGGTTATATAGGATATCCTGAGTGCCTGCCCTGCAACTGCTCACTGAAAGGCAGTGTGAATGTTGACCCTTGCGTAGGTCCCTGCATCTGCAAGGTATGAATGTGAAATTCTTCTCAGCCATGCTAATGATATTGAAAGATTGCAATTAATGATTTTCTATCATACAATAGCATTCCACTGTCCTACCTAGCTGTGTTAGTATCTATGTTAGTCACTTCTCACAGAACACTTGTTCTTGGTCTTGTAAAGTGGTACGTTGTCTTGTGGCATCTCAGTAATCACTGTAATTAACATAGGTACCCAGGAGCCTGCTACCAGTCATACAAGCCCTTAGAAATCTGTAATGAAAGGATACTTAAGAAGCCTGTGAATTATTTGTTTCAAACTCGCATCCTCATCTACTCAGAAACTACACATTTAAAGTATTGTGGGCTCTAAAACTAACCTGTAATATGACTTCAAAAGAGAAAATGAGGTGAACTGATGATGTATTGAACAAAAAAGTTGCCTTTTAGGAGTTGTCATTGGGGATATAATCTTCTTTTCTTGCTAAATTCCAAACTAAGAGCTGGGTTTAAAATTGAAAGCATTCTTTCCTACCTTGGAATGGTTGTTTAGGTATCTCTAACATAGAAAAAAATAGAATCTTAGAATGGTTGGGGTTGGAAGGAACCTCAAAGACCACCTAGTT